GAAATTATAAATAAACAGACAAAGTGCCTGTAACACAGTCACCAAAGAGGGCTAGGAAGGATGACTCCTCTCCTTCCACCTCTTCTCCATTATTCTCTCCTCCCCCCTCCCCCTCTGCCCTGCATGCTGAACAACACTAAGGTAAGATAAAGTACCGTATTTTTTACAATTTCCACAGAAATTTTTCAGTGTTAAGTGGTTGTATTTGGGGGCCTGGAACGGATTAATCCTATAACGAACGAGGTTCTAGAACCAATTAGATTCGTTATAGCATACCCCACTAACAGAATTAACAAAACATTATGAGTGATTTCGAATTTGAGGGGAATGAAGTATGGAGATTTTACTGTATTGTATATACAGTACCTATTTCCCAGTTTTCTTTCTGAATTCCCATTGTGCACCATTAGTTTACTTCTTAGAAGCTGTCCTCATTGCTTCCCTGTACACGGGTATACAGTAAGTGTCTTTTTCTTGGGAAACAGTTGATGCCTGCTTCCTTTATGTTGTATCCTACCTCATGTGGCATGTGTCATGTCACCTTTCTTTTTTTTCTCAAGGATGTTCTTGAAGGATTTAAAATGAATGAAATTATGGTACCTAATGACCTTCATCTTATACAAGAGTATAGTAGGTTAACAGTGGTAATCTCGGGGAGTGTAAATAAATATACAGTACAGTAGACGATCATTTTATCACCGACTGTTTAACCGAGCCAGGGCTTTATCGAGCTTTATTAATTGAAACCGATACTACTACAGGTATTTAACCACACCAAATACCCCTTAACTGCGTGGGAATTGCCAAATGAAGGGTACCAGTGATGTTATGAGGCTACCACACTCGGTGTCCACTGTAGTATGTGAATCTAGGCTACTCGCTTTCGTCTTATAATGTACCAAGGCATATTGTACGATGATTTTATAGGTTACGAGTTACATAAGATTAATGCGTACTGTATTTTATGATTTGACTAAATAAACCTCTATGACATGTTCTATGATATTATTCCCTCTAGTACCTTTAGTATTCAACAAAACATTTTGAATCAATGTAAAAGCTGTATGATAATTTAATTAAATAAATTTATCTATCTAAACTAAAAAAAATCAGTAAGTTTTCAGATTTAAAAAGTACAGTACTGTGCAGTAATACCAAGATTTAACCTCGAGTTATGAGTTTGACCACGTTACGTTCCAGGCAAGTCGGCCGTTAATCCACAACCACACACACTTTAACGTACAGCTCCTCCCCGACTTACGACCACCCGCACTTACGACCTGCCTCTGTCGTACCAAAATTTTGTCAAATTACGTATTTTGGAGTCCCAACGTCAGTACACAGACCACAATTTTCGTTTGTAATTCACTTTAAAATGACTGGCAAGCTTAAAAGTAAGAGTTTTGTGGTGCTGAGAAGAAAAAGAGACACCCATTTTAGATTTTCTATGTATTATTTAAGCATTTTCGACTTACGACCAGTTTGCCTTACAACCTGGATTTGGGTCCCTAACCCCGTCGTAAGTCGGGGAGGAGCTGTAATATATTGCTTTATGTAGGTTGACTTAGCAAATTAACATTAATAATGCACTTATCATTTTTATCATCTATTAAGTTAATTTTTAAGTGCACTACTTTATAAGAGTTATTTGGTAGTTATAAGTAAAATAAAAAATGTGGCAACTTTGCAGTGGGTGGCCAGCCACATGGACTGTGATTGGAGAAAATTGCATTGCTTATACATAAATATTGATGCCACTTGATGCAGCTACTAAATTTTTGTATTTTACAACATACAAGCATGAAAACAACATAAGCTTATAGGGGGTCCCCGACTTACAAATGCCCGCCAATACGAACGGGGTTAAACTTGAAATTTACAGTATTTTATTTACCCGATTTATTTTTTTTTAACTTTCATTCACTGTACTTTGGCATTCGATTTTTTCTTTTGTCTTAAATTAAGTGATTTTAGATGTATATAAGGACTTAGGCTATGATATAGTGGGATTTTAAACACTTTTTCAAGTACAGTATGCACGTAGCACGTGTTCTGACTTCCGTACAAATCTGACTTAAGAACGTCCTCGGGAACGGAACCCGTTTGTAACCAGGGGACCCCCCCATTATTTATATAAATGCCAAGAGTTATGAGCTGTATCCTATGGCATAAATATTTGTAAGCAGGATACATGTCACTTGTAACTGGGCACACGCGACCCTCCCACTCAAATCCCATGAAGTTAGCCACCCATGATGTAACACCACCACTCCACACCCCTGACAGACAGTTATTAGAGTTTTGTCTGAAAGCTATTAAAGTTAGCCACTAAACAAGCAAGAATAGAATGATAGTGGGGGTGATACACAACCCTTGCATATAGTTGTGTTAGAAGCTCGTTATCTCAATTTTTCTCCAAAGGGAGACCCCCAACCCTGCTTAGGGCTTAACTGTATAAGTGAACTGGCTCTCAAGCACGGTAAAATGATCGTCTACTCTATATGTTAAATCGCATATTGTTAGAAGCGATCCTAGATATGGCAGCCTCCTTGCTCATTACCTCTCCCCTTGAACCGCCACACAGCCGATCCTTTACCACTTTTTGCAACAAAATAAATGGAATTAAATTTATTTAAATGATTTTGAAGTATTTTTTACTCGTTAGGTTCAATGAGTTAATGTCATGTGATTAAACATCGTTTATGCTCATTGGCATAGGACAGTAGATATTTCAATTTGCCCAATTCTCAATTTGTTCATGTTTTTACAATTCTTTTACCTTTTTAAGTATTAATAAATACAGTATGTGTTTTTGAAGGGAAATTCAACTTAATGGCTGTGAACCACCAATCTGAAGATTAAATTAGGTCTTTTCCAGCCACCAATATTGACAGCTTTTCTTTGGTTTACTTGGTCCTTTTATAACAACTTAATTCAACAATAAAGAATATTTTAAACTCTTATGTAATGTTCAGTTTGTGTTATCCAGTAATAGACATACATAGGACTGGCTTTTAGCTATGGAGGGTGGCAGAATTGCCTTACACTACCACATTTGTTTAACAAAAACTAAACTTTATATGCAGCCAAATCATAAGAAAACTGTGATACATTAGTAAAGTTATATATGACATTTCCAAAAGGTGTGGCAAAATTTGGTAACAGAAAACATATTGCGAATCTCAAGTTTTGAATTGTGTGAACAACATAGTCATAAGATCCACCAATTTAGTCACTGAGCCTTGTCTGAGGTAATGTCTAATTCCTGTAGTTTTAGATACCCTTTTCATCAATGGGAGACTTTGTTTACAACCAGAGTTAAAAAAAAATGAGTTACGAAGGACACCACACTACAGTGCCCGACAGGGAGGTGTGGCAGTAAAACAAACTTGGTAAATCCCCAATATAACGGACCTTGGCTTTAACAGACACTGACCTGTTTGGATTAGGTTCATATATTACCGACTCGGGTACTTTCAAGTAAAAATAATGGACTCGGGTCCATTAAGGTAAAAAAATTATGGTCTCTGGTCCATTCGTATCCAATTTATCATAAATAATTACACTAATATCCTGTATAATGCCAATTCGTTATTGGGCTCTTTGGTCCTCTCATCAGTTATTTTTTACAAGGCCATGCTTGTTTTCAGTCTCTCCGCCAATGAGAGCGACATACCCATGTACGCTCGCAGCCAGTCAGCGCTCTTCTTATATAAAAAATTTTCCCAGTAGCATTCAGCTTACTTGCTCATTATATGAATGAGTTCCATATATTATACTGAATATTTATGACCAAAGTTATTTTTTTAACCAAAACTAAAAATTTAAGAATATCCATAATGCATACAAGTCAGCTGTTCACTTGCACCCGGCAGTACAGCAGTCATTATTACCCCCCCCCCCACCAGTACCGTACATGTTACTAACGTGTAGAGCAACTTTGTTTATCTGCTAGCCTGTCACTATCACTGGATCCAGTTTAAACATGTTTTATCCTGTAAACACCAGCTGGTGATGGGGAATGTTAGTGGTGATGATTAGTGTTGGTGGCAAGTGGTGTTGGTGAGTGTTGGTGGTGGTGAGTGTTGGTGGTGGTGGTGGGGAGTGTTGGTGGTGGTGGTGAGTGTTGTTAGAGTGTGTTCTTGGTGGTGGTGGTGGTGTGAGTGATGGTGGTGGTGGTGGTGGAAGTGTTGGTGGGGGTGTTGGTGGGGGGTGGTGGGTGTGGGGGGGTGGTGGGGGGTGTTGGTGGTGGTGTTGGTGAGTGTTGTTAGGTGTGTGTTCTTGGTGGTGGTGGGGTGAGATTGGTGGTGGTGGGAGTGTTGGTGGTGGGGAGTATTGGTGGTGGTGGGTGGTGGGGGATGGTGGTGGGGAGTGATGGTGGTGGGGGTGGTGGTGGTGGTGGGGGTGTTGGTGGTGGGGAGAGATGGTGGTGGGAAGTTGGTGGTGGGAGTGTTGGTGATGGGGAGTGTTGGTGGTGGGGAGTGATGGTGGTGGGGAGTGTGGTGGTGGGGTGTTGGTGGTGGTGGGGGTGTTGGTGGTGGTGGGGTGGTGGTGGTGGTGGTGGTGGGTGGTGGTGGTGGTGGTGGTGGTGGTGGTGGTGGGGGTGGGGAGTGTTGGTGGTGGTGGTGTTGGTGGTTGGTGGTGTGAGTGTTGGTGGTGGAGTGGTGGTGGTGGTGGGGAGTGGTGGTGGTGGTGGTGGGGAGTGGTGGGGGTGGTGATGGGGAGTGTTGGTGGTTGGTGGTGGGGTGTTGGTGGGGTGGTTGGTGGTGGTGGGGTGGGTGGTGGGAGTGATGGTGGTGGTGTTGGTGGTTGGTGGTGGTGGTGGTGGTGTTGGTGGGGTGTTGGTGGTGGTGGTGGTGGTGGTGGTGGGGTGGTGGTGGTGGTGGTGGTGGTGGTGGTGGTGTGGTGGTGGTGGTGGTGGTGGTGGTGGTTGGTTGGTGGTGGTGAGTGTTGGTGGTGAGTGGTGGTGGTGAGTGGTGGTGGTGAGTGGTGGTGGGGAGTGTTGGTGGTGAGTGGTGGTGGGGAGTGTTGGTGGAGTGTGTTGTTGGTGGTGGGGTGTTAGTAGTGAAAAGTGACTCACATAGTCACTTTGGACTATGTTGATATATAACAGACCGAGTCCATTATTATTCCAAATGTGGATATAACGGACTTTTAGCTTTAACGGACAGGCCTGACTCCCCATTAGTCCATTTTATCGGGGATTTACTGTATTTTTTATCAAGAGCAAATACTCGTATACTAATTTACAATTTTAAAAACTAGTGACCAATACTCAAACTACAATCTAATAAATTATTAAATGTTCAATTAAAATTTTATATCAGTAATAAATGCTGAAGAAAATATAAACTCATTTATTTCCATAAATATATACAGTATCACAAGTATTATTCAAATACCTGTATTTGGTTGAGTATTAAAACACTTTGCTCAAAAATTGTGCAAGCATTATAAAATAACATTAATAAACGTAATAGCAAGGATGAATGAGTATTTTGTACCTGCAACTTTGAGAGCTCTTCATATTGAGGAAATATAATGTAATGAACTGCTCTGACAGTACAGAAAACAAAAAAATAAGTGCCACCTGCCATTTCCCATTAATGAAAATTGAAGGGATACTGCATTTATTATGGCAAAAAAGAATATGCAGGAATTGTAAAAGGTATACATAATTGTAACCATGAAATTATAGTTAAAATCAACCATAAAAAAGGAGTGGACATTGATATGGTCATTATTTGGTGTTTTCAGTGAATTTTTTTTTTCACACACAGCAGAGCTACTTTAAGTATACACATTACACATAAAGCTGTTAAAAGTATATGAAACCATCCTCTCTTTTATGTATACGTACTGTTAAAAATTCTCTAAAATGGATTTCTCCCGTATGCAACCTCGGAACAACATTTTGTGCATGTGTCAAATATAAAATTATTCCCTTATAAGAACACTGATGTAAACAATAGGCCACATGTATTCCCTACATCAGCAAGACCCCATAATCTGGAAAGCCTATATTACAATGGCACAAAATTTCTTTGGAGTGTCCTATCATAAATTTCTAATCTATCCCACGAGTCAGAGAGCTCTCAAGTGTAATCTCAAAATCATTAAGAGCAGACAAAACATTAATGAGATCTCGGACTAGCTGTGGGTCTCTGAGAAAGGAAGAGTCATCATACATATGACTTGTAACTGGAGAGCGTTGAAGGGGTAACAAGATGCGTGGTAAGAGGTGTGCTCTGAAAAGGGAAAATTTAATGCATTAATGCAAGCTAAACTTAATGGTTGCTCCTCGTGTAACGAGGATGGCCGGCCCTAGGGCCACCTAGGCATGAATTTGTTTAAGGTGTAGAAGCTGTCGTCAACACAACAACCACATCCTAAGTTAACGAGTTGCATGACCCAGTGTCAAGGAATAGTCTGAGAAGACCGGACAACTCGCCAACTGCACTGGCTAACCATTATCCCGGAATACGATCCACAAATCGATTAATGTCCAGGTCCCCAATTACTACTGGGTAGACAGAGGGAAATGGCATAAAGAAATTTGCCCATAGTTTCACCCTGCCCAGGGACTGAACCCGGGTCCGCTCACTTGCAAGCTGACCGTTACACTACAGGTGTTAGCTAGACATTATCAATTAGATCATTTTTTTCTTGTAATTTTACTCGAACTTTACTTTACTTTAGCTACATGATTTTCCTCTTTGTAGAATGATTTACCCCCTAAATATAGAATTCGAAGGACAATCGAGTCACATCGACCAGAGTGGATAAATCGGCAGAAAAAAATATGAAGCCCCCTGGTGCTTTCCTTTTTGTGTCCTGCCGACCGCCAGCCCCACACGTTGTAACACATGGAGAGTTGTCATTTTACTTAAGAGCAAAACTGACCATACTGACATTTTCATATGAGGTTTCCCTATTCTTTTGTGAATAAATCTTAATTTTGACCATGGTGGCACTTGTCCACTATCATTATTTGCACCTCAATTGTGAATGGTAATTCTATTATGTGTCTAATGAGAACCCAGGGATTAAAAAAAAAAAAAAAAACGAGTTAGTTTTGTGTGCAGATTGCTCAGGCGAGGAAGCCATTACTAAGCTTGTGTTTTATATAATGATTTTTAATAGTTTTCAGCACAAAAGTAATTGGTAGATGTTTTTCCTGGTAATTAAGTATTTAAGTGATGATCACAGTCAACCAACTGAAACCATGGCATTAAGATGAATCCTACAATGAAGTATTTAAAATAGCACAAGATAAAGCAGATTCACTTGCCATCAATCCAAGGATATGCAAACCTCCCAAGAGACTGACAGGCAAAGGACAGCTACATTACTCTGTTACAGTAAGAGACCAGTACAAAAGCCAGTACTTTGAGTATGTGGACACTGTCATACAACAGTTGAACACAAGATTGTATTCTGAAAACTGATCTGAAGTGCTACACTGCACTGGAAACCATGATCATCACTGGAAAAACTGATGAGGTTACCAAGCTGTATCCAGAGCTTAATTGAGACAACTTAAGTTTCAACTCCCCATGTTCAAGAGCACAACCGGGGCAGCCTCACTCAACAAGGCAGAGGAGGCATATCATGGTATGGATTCAGCATGCAAACACTTTTCTTTGTCTGCCCTGTATCAAGCTACGAATGTGAGTGTAGCTTGTCTGTTTTACATCGCCAGAAAATATGGCCAAAGTCACCACTAACACAAAGGCATCTGAATCACGATACAGTATGTCATGTTCATAAGCAGGAACTAGACAAGCCAATGTGAATGTGCAAAAGCTGGCCACAGAATTTGCAGGCAGATCAGTTCAAATATGATTTGTGTTTGGTAACACTGGTAGTATGTGAAGTGTTTGTTTTTATTCACAGAAAATTTCTTGGATACGTATTATTGTATTACATCTGCAAAAAATAAAAAGTATAAATGCCTTCTTACTTTTATAATTTCTTTTCACAGCATAATAAACATGCTTGAAGATATCTAGTTTTATAGTTACAGAATATATTCATAGATATATATACTTTATTTACAAGTTTTCACAGTCATTCTCGCCCCCCCCTAAATTCACAAAAATTCTATGCAACTGCTACAAGTACTGTAATCCAATTAACAGTTTCTGTCAGCATGACTGCTGACATGAGAAGAAAATAACAAGCTAGAATATTTAGACTTACCTGGCTGCAAGACAAACAAATAACTGGAATTTGTCATCTTTGCCAAGATGTGTGGAGGAAGCATTGATACGAGACACCAGAGACACAAACTCGGCCATGCTTGCTAATCCATGATCCCGACTATCTCTTGCAATACCAGTCAATTGTTCTCTTTCCATTTCTTCGCGCAAGACCACTTCAAAATGTTGTTGTACTCTTTCTGTTAATTAAGACATCATTATGGTGAATAACCCCAGTGTTCAATACATGTATTAACTTTAACATTTCTTTTTAACAAACCTTCCTTCTTTCTCCAATAAGAAGGTTGGAAATAAAAGTTTTTCTAAAGTGAAAATGGCTATAATTTAAACACTACATAGTCTACCAACATGTTAAACAATCTATCCTATTACAATAAAAATTTTAATCCAAAGATTAATGAGTTACCAAGGGTGTCCAAAGGGTTACTCCTCGGTGCCTTAAGTGACCAAAATGTCAGTACAGTATTGGGTGTCTCGGGTATAAATATTCTCACAGCCCCACATATTTTTCTGTCTTGCATTACTCTATTATGAACTCCTACTTTTCTAGTTCTATTTTTGTTAAGCACAGTTCCCAAATACCAGTATCTCAGTTAATGCAAAATTATCAGACACCCAAACTTTAATATTAACAAATAACTTTACAACAATCAATTAGAAAATATATATTTTAACTTCTCTGCTGCAACATTATATAAAAAAGGGTCCCAGAGGCTATAGGAGCAATGTAGATACAGCACACCGTATACAATAACTGACTTCCCAGCTAAGTGAGCAAGGAGTTGAGGGCTGCATCCACTCAGACACTGGACCCCTCTATTACTCTATTATTTCTTTTACTCGATATATGATCTGCTCCAGTTACTAATATGTACAGGAAGTTGTTCATGGTACAATTACAATATTTTTTCTTTCAAATACCTGTATGGTTTTCTGTCATGGTAGAAACAATATTGTACTTACCAAAATAGTCCCAGAGATATAGGTTCTTGCCAAAAAAACGTGTGGATTTAAAGCCATAAGAGAAAACTTGTTCAAGGCAACAGACGAGGCCAAAGTCTCCACACAGCAGGAGTGTTAGGCTCCCCCGTTCCTTCTCTGGCTTGTAGAAGTACTTCACCAAACTATTGACAGAGTCACCTGTTGAAACAATAAATGATTATTCTACAATAAAATATGAAACCAAACTAATGTATTGCCTAATATTGTGATTGGTTGGCAGTTTGATTAAAGGAACAAAATGAGCTAAAAATTAGGTATAGTATTATTTTTACTGGGTGCCTGCTAGAAATTCACTATACAGTACTTCCATAATTTAATTTAGAAAGTACAGTAACTGTTATCCATTTATTTAAAGTTTCCATCTCGGTTGCTTTGTCTACTTCACACGTTGCATTCCTTTTTAAATTTTTGGTGTACTTGGACATGCATAGTTTCATCAAACTCTGCAGGAGTGTACATTAACAAATACATAGGTAATGTTTATAATCATTTAAGGGTATGACATACCAAGGTGTTGTTGTATATCAGGAACTGTAAGTCTCAGATCTGCACGTCTTGGGCCAGGAACATTTGGGGATCTGCATCGTGGAGGTGTTCGACATGATTCTACCAAATCGTCTGAAGTAATATGGGACGGAACCAACTCTCCGACAAGAATTCGTTCTAAAGACCCGTCATCGATTCCACGACCGAGCCAACGTCCACAAGGGAACCTAGTGAAAAACATAACAGGTTTTGTATAGACATAAAGTAGCTAAAAACTCCTACTTATAATAACAGTAAAGTACTATTTTACCCCCACATTTATAACCAGGTGAAGTATGTACTATTTCTTTAAAGTGCAGTACTTACACCACTTGTGAACTTCCTAGTACAGTATCAGACAATGGACAAGGTTAAAAATATTGACTACTGAATTTTGCATATTTTGACATATTTTGTCCCTTGACATATATTTAGGATGAATGAATAGGCAACAGCAGAAGTTCATCCAAGCCAACGTGCATGATATGAGGCAGGTGACCTGGCAACACAGTATGGGGATGAGTCGACAGATATGCTTTAACCCCTGGGCTTCTGACTATATATGCAGGTATATTCGGGAACATTAAAGAACAAATATAAGACAATTCTAGTCCTATAAACTAGCCCTGCAGGATATAAACAGGAAATAAATACATGCCCTTAACACAAGTTGGCAACTTTTACGGCAGAAGGGATGTTTATGCTAGGGATGGGGTGGCAACCCTGGCTGGCTCTCTCGAGAGGGCAGTTCAAAAGATGTCGAAGTCTTTAAACTGCTAGGGGAACATATGAGCATGGAGGTGGAGGAGACTGCAGTGGGAGCGGGTAAACAAAGTGAAAGGTTGCAGGGAAACAGTGCTAGGAATGATGACAAAACTAAATTAGGCAGGGAGTTAAAACCTAAACGCGTCAAAGAGAGGACGGGGCATCGGTATGTACCGAAAAAATAGATATACCAATAGCATTCACCAAAACATGGATAAACTTAGACTCACGTGAGTTACCTGCCGAATACCAAATTGCAGGTTACAAATTATTCCATACCGATAGGCAGATTAGGAAAGGAGGCGGTATAGCAATCTACAGTATGTCAGGGATAATCTGAAGTGTGAAGTATGTCAGGGATAATCTGAAGTGTGAAAAAAATAAGGAAATAAAAACTGAATTGAATACAGAAGCAATTTGGATAGAATTAATCGATGGTAAAGAAAAATTAAACGCAGGAGTAATATATATACCTCCTAATCTTGATAGAGTTAATGAGCAACTTATATGGGATGAAATACACAGGGCTTCCAGGCATAGCAATGTCTGTATAGTAGGCGACTTTAACTTTAGCCAAATAGATTGGATCGACCTTACAGGGAACTCAGAATCAGATGATTTTCTTGAAACAGTTCAGGACTGTTTCCCAAGTCAACATATAACCGAACCCACCCGGGGTAATAATATACTCGATTTAGTTCTGTCAAACAGAGAAAACCTCATTAGTAATGTCGAGGTAGGGAACTAACTTGCCAACAGCGATCAGAAAGAAATAATATTTCAATTAAAATTTAATGGCAGTCACAAGGAAAAATTCCATTAAAGTCCCAGATTTCAGAAGGGCAAACTTTGATAGGTTGAAAAGGCAGCTGAGAGAAGGGGTATCACATTTGGGGATGGATTACATGACCTCACACAATGTACCCACAGAGGGCAAGCTCACTTTATCTGGAGACCTGACAACAATATCCTCACAAAATATGACGGTTGAGGATTACCTGATCACGAGATCTGCGATTGACGAGTTCTACAACAATTTAAATAATGAGTTACTTAACGCACAAAGGCAGAACATACCATACAGAAAACTCAGATCAGACAACAATGACCCTAAATGGAAAATAATTTTTTAAAGAATATTATTGGACAAAGGAAGGCTATAAGTAGAAGAATAAATCGTGGTGAAGTTTAACTCCGAGATTATTATAAGGTATTGGCCGGTAGGATTAAGACCGAGATAAGAAAAGCAAAGAGGAATAATGAACTGAAGGTAACAAGGGAGGCAAAGTCAAACCTCAAGGGATTCTTTCAAATGTATCAAACTAAAACACGAGAAAAGATTGGACCAATACAGTCATATGACGGAGAAATGAGCAAAAATCTGAATAAAATATTTTTCAACAGTTTTCACCACCGAAAATTTAAACATGATACCCGAGATAGTGAAGAAAATAGATTAAGTGAGATAGTAATGACTAGTAAAGATGTTAGTAAGCAAACAGATAAACTAAAGCCGAATAAGTCGCCAGGCCCCGATGAGATATTTGCCAAAGTATTAAGGAATGTAAGGAAGAGCTTAGCATGCCCTTAGCAAATTTGTTTAACCTGTCCTTAAAAATGTGTGTAGTACCAGAATCCTGGATGATAGCAAACGTAATACCGATTTTCAAGAAGGGAGATAGAACACTGTCCTCTAACTCCCGTCCAATCAGCTAAACATCAATTGTAGGCTAATTACTGGAAGCAATAACTTCAAACTCTATTCGAAATCACCTGGAGATGCACAAGTTGATCAATGATTCCCAACATGGCTTCACAAGTGGGCATTCATATCTAACTAATCTATTAACATTCTTTTCAGCTGTTTTCGAATCAGCGGACGAGGGGCACGACTATGATGTGGAATTTCTTGAATTTAGTAAAGCCTTCGACAGAGTCCCCCACGAAAGACTACCGTAATACAAAAAGTGGAGGCTTGTAGCATTGGAGGAGATATTCTAAAATGGATTAGTGTGTGGTTACAGGACAGGAAACAGCGAGTGAGCATTAACGGCACTAAATCCGATTGGAGTAACTTCACTAGTGGAGTACCCCAAGGGTCAGTACTTGGACCATTAATATTTATTATATACATAAACGACATAGATATCGGCATAGACAGCAACATAAGTAAATTTGCTGACGACACTAAAATAGGGCGTATAATTAAATCTCTGCAAAACTACAGGAAGATCTAAACAAATTTTTCGAATGGTCTGAAAAATGGCAGATGAAATTCAACATGGACAAATGTAAAGTACTTAGCCTAGGAAAACCAGATGAACAATATAGAGATATTCGAATATGAGAAAAATTAGGAGTAATGAGAAGTAGGAATCTTAAGCCAAATAAACAAGGTGTGTTTATTCGAAAAAAGGCTAATAAGTACTGTACTTGGGTTCATACAAAGGAGTGTTAGTTACAAGAATAGAGAGGTCATCATGAAACTGTATCTTGCGCTTGTGAGACCTCACTTGGATTATGCAGTTCAATTCTGGTCATCGTATTACAGAAAGGATATAGAATCCCTAGAAAGAATTTAGAGGAGAATGACAAGACTAATCCCGGGCATAAGGAACCTTGAGTACTGAGACGGGTTACAGCATCTTAATTTGCATTCCCTCGAGAGACGTAGAGTGAGGGGCGATATGATAGAGGTGTATAAATGGAAGTCAGGGCTCAACAAAGGTACTCAAACTATCCAACCAGGAACGAACTTGTATCAATGGCTTTAAATTAGACAAATTTAGATTTAGGCACGAGATAGGTGAACATTGGTTCGGAAATAGAGTAGTGGATGAATGGAACAAGTTACCAAACATCATCATTAACTTGAATATGCTGGATAGCTTCAAACATAGATTGGATGGATATATGAGCAATAGGGGTTGGGTGTAAATGGGACTGCCTAATATGGGCCAATAGGCCTGCTGCAGTTTCCTCCATTCTTATGTAGTGTATCACAATAATAGACATGTACTTGGGGGATGGGGGTAGAAACACATGGCGAAGGGAGTGAAGTCCAAGGGTGAGAATCCTACATCACAAAAGCCGAGAAGCTACTGAGAAGAGACTGGGAGGCTCTCATACCCACTTGGCAACATAATCTAGCCAGGCCCACCTTTTTTATTAAAATAAGTCCACAAAAGACCAAAAAGTCATATGATGTGACTGGAAGACTAGTGGGTTAAATGGCAAGCTATCTAAGATTTATGATTGGAAATCGTCTGAGAATATATTCTTGTACAGTATATAACTTAATTAGTTATCAATGTATAAAATGTGGAAAAACAATGTTATTGACAAATATATGAGTAACTGATAATGTGGACACTGCAGCCATATCATGTGTTCTGACTCGGTTACTCTCAAGACATTATGGATAGGCAAAAATGCCTTGTATATAGTAAACATAAAATGTTTTAAAACGTGATTTGAAATGATTGAATTAATGTACAGCTGTAACTACGAATTTTCATGAACCAACCTTTGTGAATCGGGGATGGCTTCCTTCTGTCTTAAAGTCAGTGTGACAGTTTCAGTGTTCTGGTGTTACAGACTTCAAATATCTGAGATCTTACCAAATTAAAATTTTCATTTAATTACTATCATTGTCTCTGGTTGATTTACTGAAATCATGACATCATTGCTTTAAACACAATTGGCATTTGGCGCCATGAATTTAAAGTTGTGTGCTAAGAATGGAAAGTTGATTAGTAGACACTCTAGAGTGAGATACAGGCTGGTGGAGCCTCAAATCAATTTTGGTATCATCATCTTTGAATGATTTGGCATTATTTATGCCTCACCCATCCCCTCTCCTATCCTCAGTGGCTGCTAACCCACACCTATGTCACCACAGCCTGGCACACCACCTATGTAAAGGTTTACCAACCACTTAATACCACAAAACCCACCACTGCACCACAACAAGCACCTTGTACATCACAATAATAATCAGGGCTCGGTAGTTGCCACATTCTAATGATTGGGGAAGCATCCTCATCATGTCACACTGTCACAAAAATTGAAGCGATTGCTGCTAGTACAAGAATGAAATAAAGTGTCCCATTTGAGAAGGAAAAAAAAAAAATCCATGCAGATGCAAACCCTGCTTGTGAACTATTACCATACTGGCAAATACTGTATCAAAATAGTGATGCTTTTACTGTAATTTAATGTAGTCATTACTGAACATCCTCATGTAATTTTTGAACCACTCAAAAACCCCATAAGTTACTGTGCAAATCCACAAACTCATTGTCAACTGTATTGAGGACACACAGAGAAGACCAAAAACAATATTCTGTACCTCAATTGTGGACTGGGCAGTGGGCATTTAACATTTTAATTTGTCTTTGCACTACCTTCAGTGTAAGTCTATACATTATTGTAGTTGAATCTTCTCTGTATGTCAACTTGCATTTAACTTACTTCCAGGTGTGTCCGGTGACTTCATTCCTGACCAGCACGTGTTCCACCATCCATTTTGGAGACATGCCTGTATTGTCATGGCCAATCCTTAATGTTGTCAATAAGCCCAGATTTTTGTGCTGTACAAAGATGAATACTTAGTTTGAGAATATATATATATATATATAGTTTATGAGCTGAAGCTCTTTGGATTACATGATCACTGTTAACAAAAGTATGCCCCTGGTGACGTAATACAGACTACAGTAAGTTTTAATAACAATATCAGTGACTGATATGTTTGTAAAAAATTTTGTGTTCTGTACTAATTCACTTACCCACAGACCAACAAAAGTAGATTCAGTTTAAGTTTATACATGACAGATGTGTTTAGTACAAAAAATACAGTAATATGATTACAGCATAAAAAGAAAAAATCATAACATATATTTATATACATAATAATGTAGCCCTACCTGAAAGACGAGTTCGACCTGGCTTCTTGGAACAGGAATGTTAGAAGTTTGACCAAGAGTACCGCCAAGGCTGACCCAGGCATTAGCCGAGGTGCTCGCTCCACTCAACTTACGTGAAGGAAATACTACCACTCGATATGGCACAACTGAAACACACAAGGATAAATATTATTCAACTTCAAACTTGTGTTAGCCCACTGTGAAGCCACATTATTTATAATATTTTGGTGATATGAAGCAGCAAACCAAATATCACTTGATCCACTAAGAACTTTCCAAGTTAATGGATGGACAAAAATTTCATAAACGGCCAAACAGATAGATGGATGAATGGAAGGAAGGTCAGTGGTACAGATTAACCTAATCCTACTCAATATTCCATCAACTGGCAATCCCCAATTATTGGCAGTGTTTTAGAAAATGCATTGTCAGGCAACCTCCACATTGATGGCATGTTCAACCACCATGTAGTTTTCCAGCTGGCCACAGGAAAAAGAGTTGTACAGTAATAACTCATACACTGTATTTAAATCACTTATTTTTATTTGCTCTCAGAACAAATAATACAAGGCACAGTATTTTTAATAAATAAACTAAATGAATAAATTTTTTTTAAACTTCAATTTTACATAAAGGGGTCTTACAGGTGCAGCTCGGTGCTGCCAGATAGCTGAACATTTATTTTTAAATTCTCCACTTCCATCATTTATCAGCTTGCCAGCCCTAAAAGTGGTCAGTCTATCAGTATTCTTTGTTATGACCTTCATGTCCAGTTTTAGTACATGAGGAAACCGGAATACAGTACCTGGTGAAAATCAGTATAACACCCTTCTCACACCCATACTGGGGATTGAACCCACAATGCAGTGGGTCAAGTGCAGTCCTGCTGCTGGTGCTGTGTGTTTATAGGTAATAAATTATTATTTTACCCCAAATATGCAGCAAATATAGTGTTTCTAAGCACTTCTCTTATGCTGAGGACCAGTCCGTCAATGTCACTGTGCTAAAGCTCACACACGAGCTATCATTTCTAAATTTACTTAATAAATCTACTTGCTCTTCAATCTCACCCCCACTCTCTGATTCCCATATTATTTTACTTATTTTTCTGCGGGTCAAGGCTGTAATACTGTGGCAAAAGGTCTTTCTGTCCGATGCATCACTGGAAATGCCAGATACTTCCTCCTTAACAACAAAACATGCTACTGGTGCAAGGAGGTACCACCAACCCAGGGAGGAAAAAGTTGACAAGTAGAAATCAGGCACCAAACTTAAAAATTATTTTGTGGTCAGCTGAGGTGCCTTAAAAAGTGAGTGATGAAGGAACGTAGACCTACAATCAATGTTCTGTAATTTGAGGTTGTAAGATAAACCTTTACTATCATACCTCTTATTACAGATGAGATGCATTCTTAAAGCTGGTCTGCTTAGCCAAATATTCATTAAAAGAGGCCATTATAATATGGTGCTCATGGAGATGGGCACTTGCTAATGGCAAAATTAATCATAATGATAAATACCCAGTAAATCCCTTTAAATACTACTATTTTCTTATAGAGTGAATAAATAATGATTAAATGTGCCAAAATAGGTCTTAAACATTAGAAAAAAGTTGGTTACTTAGAAATACAAGTGATTTTCCACCACTGTCTCCGTACGAAAAGTAAACAATAAGCAGCAAGCAAACGGCTCCAGCGCAATGATGATAATACAATAAATATGGCTGTCAAGAGGTGACAATGCTTAAATTTTACATTTAAATGAACACTTCGTAAACATAAATTATTAATGAAACTTAATTTAATAGCACTCGCCAGTTATTTTTTTCAGAGCTTGTTGTGTGGTTTACCACAGACAAATACTCCGTCTCAACTCTTTGTATTACATTCATTTTCAGGTCCATACTAATGACTTTCCTGGGCACCTTGGCTGGTTTACCAACACATTCACTTGCAGGCCATTTCCCAGACATAATGGGCAGAAAATATCCACAGATAGCAAAAATATGAAGAGACTTACCATGATACAACAGACAAATCTTGGCTGGCTACTGTATACATTTTGAGATGATCACTTATTGGCTTAGACTAAGCCTTAGCGGATGTAAACAACAACGATGGCAGCGGAATTTATAGTTTGTTCTTTTTCACTAATGTCAGATTGATTTTTTTTTTCTAATGAAACTATAATTACTATTATCCATAGCATTATGGGGCAATGGGCCCCATTATCAACCTACTGTATTATTTAATGGGAATTTCTATTATTCAGCATGGATGGCCCTGGTCCCAAGGTTCCTGGATAAGAGAGGGTCAATCTGTACCCCTATAAGCCACCTATAATCTACTGTAAGGCAGAAGCACGAGAATAGATAAATACAATACACTACATAAATCGCATTTCTTTTGAAAGTTAGTGAACACTTACTTGTGGATGCATAAGTGTTTGTGAAACAGAAGTAGTCAACAGCATTCAGAGAGAGCAAATAGGACAAGAACTGTTCCTTCTCATCATCACACCGGAGGAAGGCATAGCGCTTGTATAAACTTCTTAGTAACTCAGAATCGCCCAAGAGAGTCGTCAGATGTTTAGATAGAACCTTCTTCTCCAAGGAGAGTCTCACCCAGGCCCGTGCATACCCAATTTGTGTCTTGATTTCTGTCATTGCCAGCACATTACGCATATCAAAAGTAACTGATATAGGGAGTGGACGTAAGGTAGGAACACCAGGGTCAGATGGACGTGATCGGCGGTCAATGCTACGGTCACTGGGCCACCGTTCTTGTAGAGATTTTTTTCGCAGACTATTTGTATTGCTTGGAGACTTTGTTGGTGAAGCTGGTGCACTTTCAGTCTCCAGAGCCATTGTTGAGAGGTCTAAAACAGGATAACACTTTACTGTCGAGGACTAAAGAGCCACCGTATACAAATATGAATATAATTTATCAATAAAAAAACCAGGGATTGAATTTAGTTACCCTAACAAAACTTTTCCAAGTGAAACACCTTTCTTGTTCCAAGTAAAAAGTAGGAAAGTATGTACAGTAGAGTTGTGTACAAAATTTCCTAGACACTTGGCAGTATCTAGCATTTAAGGATCATTAAGTGAAGGAGATTGGAATTTTAATACACGAGTAGTTCTCTGATTTTTCTTTGTGCTATAGATTTGGGGTTTTTTTATTATCTTTTTATTACCATTTTGTATGCCCAACAAAATATGTAATGAAAAGCAATAAGCCAATCATATACAGTATATATGACCCAGAAATTGATGCCAGATACTGCCATTTGTTCAGGGAATTTTGTCTGCAACTGTACCATTGATAAACTTTTCTTTAAAAAATTAATATAGTAAAAGAAATAATGATAATCTCACCATTAAATGTATAATATTGTCTTTAATATCCATAAATATGAATAATTTTAGGGATATCGTGCATTATTTAAATGAGATAATCTTGACCATTAATGAAGCAGTATAATATTCACACAACAAGCAGAATTAAAACATGCTGAGGAAGTTAAAAATCACCAAAGCCACTTACCAAAATTATTTGCTAACTGGGAAGCCAGAAACCCAAGACCACTAATGTTACCCGTTTTAAGGGATAAGACAATCTCCGACAATGGTGACAAACTGCTAATCTTTGGTGTGGTATTTTGAGGAACTGAAAAACAATTGTGAACCCTTCTGAGTGTGATGTACACACTCAAACAATGCCTTCCTTGTTGTGTTAGTGGAAACTGCAGGCACTTTTACCATGTTAAATAGTTCAGAAACTATGAATATTTACTGAAGTTAATAGAGGCTTTGTTAGTCCAGTACAGTAGTTAGAGGGAAAAATAGCAGGCAATGAATGGAGAAGTCCCATTATAGCCCAAAGGTATGGAGGCATTCTTCAAGCCTTTATTCTACCGATGTATGTCAGAGCAAGGCAGATTTTCAAATGGACCATAAAGAAATGTCCAAAAGTTGCATTATAATCTAAAATACTTTAGATTGTAAAAACAAATGAGGCAGCATTAGTGGTCAGAGTCTGGTGAAAGGAGAAAAATTAGAAGGGAATTTCCACTTGCATACTTACACTCTTGAAGGTTCACGTCACAAACATGCACTAACATATACAGGAAAAGGAAAGCTGAATACCTGTGATGCTTTTCTACAGATTAATGTAAAGCCAGAAGGTGAAGACTAACTTCAAGAATGATTAATGTATACAGTACTCTTTGTCAAGCAAATAGCCAAAGCAGAGCCATATTAAAAAAATATATATTTATATGAATATCTATAGAAGCATGAATAAATCAACTTTATCTGGTAACTACATAATGTACACCATCTGTCATTTCATACCTACTTAAATCACTGATATCTGAACTTCTTTAAGAGCATTCAGTTACTATACTCACTCTCAGGTTGATGAAAAGACAGTAATACAGTACAGCCACTCTTTGACTTAACTTACGACCACCCGGACATACGACCGCCTCAGTCATACCAAAAAATTTTGAAATTACATATTTTCGAGTCCCGACGTTAGTGATTGTGCTGTGTACTGACAAAAAATTTTTTTGTAATTCCTTTTAAAATGGCTGGCATGCTTAAAAGTGAGAGTTTTGTGGAGCCGAGAAGAAAAAGAGACACCCATTTTAGATTTTCAATGCATTATTTAAGCGTTTTCAACTTACGACCAATTCGACTTATGACCTGGATTTGGGTCCCTAACCCTGTCGTAAGTCGAGGAGTGGCTGTACTTCTTTATTATATACTGTATGTGCATTTATTCTTAATCATTCAAGGGTATGTCCAATACAGCATTACTATAAAATACTGTAAAAAAAAAATATATATATATATACACACACAGTATGCCCCCCCAAGTTCGCAGATTTTTACTTCACAGTTCTCGGTTATTCGCGGATGACACCCTGGATGTACCCAAGAATGTCTGAGGGTAGTTTTGAAGTTGCCGTCATTTTTGCGGCTGTAACAGGGAGCCATTCGTTCTAGAGACAGTAATTTCCTTTACCTGTATTGTAAATTTGTGTGTGTGTGTGTAAATACACACACAAAACATATACAAATAAATAATAATGGAAAAAATACTCACAAATAATCAGAAACAAATTTATTAAAAATGTACTATATTAATAGAGCATGGACTTGAGGGTAGACTCACATTTTAAAGAAATTTGTTTCCAATTATTTTTGAGAGAATTTTCCAATTATTTTTATTGTTGTGTTTTGTGTGTATTGACACACACAAATACAATACTACAGGTAAAATAAATAATTGTCCTAAGGGCAAACACTTAAAGGGAATATACATTTATTTGTACAAAAGTACAAAATTTACCCCCCACCACATACATTATACTCCTACACTTATTTGTTCTTATTTTTATCTTTATAGTACTGTACAGTATGCAGTTTTCACTATTTTTATAAGACAAATTATGTGATTACTTACATATAACACTTTACAGTAAATAACAATCACCTCGGTGTGAACAATTGTTGACAACCAGACTTATATGTCTGATTTTCAACCCAGAGAGTTCTGTTTCATATTTTGTTTTAATTGTTGATGAAACAGTGTTTTAATAACCTTGTTATACATTTAAAGACCTTAGTTGTTGAAGTGCAGTAACAACATAACTGATTTTCTTTAAACAGTTCAGATAAGCAGTTATCCCCCCATATATCGCATTTTTTGAACTGGGGTCTGCCTAATTAGTCCGATTTATTGAGGGTCTATTGTAGATAGATAGATAGATAGATAGATAGATATATAGATATAGATAGATAGATAGATAGATAGATAGATAGATAGATAGATATATATATATATATATATATATATATATATATATATATATATATATATATATATATATATATATATATATATATATACACAGTGTTATACAGTATATTGTGTTTCATCAAAAAGACTTTAATCTGACGTATTCAGTACTAAAGAAGTGTCAAAATTACCAGATGCTGTAACCCATTTTCTAACTATCCCTTTAACAGGATATCGATTAAATAAATTCATTACAATCCTCTGGATATAATGTTAATCACATATTATGATAGGAATGGTTAAATCAAGTTAACAATAAGTTAATTTTTAATGCAGAAAATGAGACATGCTATTAAGAGTAACACATTTAAAAGTATTGTGCCTTGGATGCAACTGGCAACCCAAAAAAGTGTAAATTTAAATAATATGTATGAACATCAAATTAATAAGGGTTTTAATAATGCTGTATACAGTATTATTAATTTTCCTTTTTAGTGAATAATCTGCTGCAGTATATATTCTCTGGATATTCATATAAAGATGTTAATTAAAAATACCTTTGAAACTTAAAGAATACTCTGGCTCATTCATGCAATAAAAAAAAATTTGACTAGGTGATGTATCAAATGTAACATACAATCAATACGTTTCCTGAGTATACACCAGGCCATGGCTGCTTGACCAAGAGAGAAGGGAGGGTTAGTGGTTAAAAATTTTGCAGGAGTTAGGTTTTAGAGTCCACAAACATATTATTAGTACACATAGTTTTTACATTGAAAAAATTATTAGTATACAGGTACAGTATGTGGTTTTCAGTAATAGTAAATGCATATGTATCATTAACAGTTGAATACATGTATATGAGGTAACAGTCAATACAGTTTTCACTTGAATATATGAATACTGTAATACATATTAGTGGTATACAGTGTAGGGTTTAAATTGCATCATATAATAATGTACAACAGAACCTTGGAAATCCAGATCAGTTATTCAGGAGTACAATATCAGAAAACTAGCACCCTTAGTAAATAAATAAATAAATGCAATAAATAAATAACAATGATAAATAACTTTCAACATCTAGCTGCCCTCACTATTATTGCAAACATCCATCAATGATTTCATGTAACAAAAATTATGCTTAAAATACAGTTTTGAACATTTACCAGGGAAATTTTTCACAGTGTCACACACCATCAAAATGAGGGGACACAACATTAAGCTTGCCAAGATGTCATGCATCACAAGTATAAAGAAATACTTCAAACAGAGGGTGGTAGATTGAAGTAAGACTGAAGAAAATATTGAAAGAAAATAATGAATTACAATTGAAGTTATTATTCTATGTCTGACTTAAGAAAATAATGGATGTAAGAGTCAAGCAAACAATGAATGTGTGATTTGAGGAAATAGTGTATTCTGTATGTGTCATCTGGGAAGGTTCCCCATATGGGTGAGCCTGTGGAGGTATTTTGTAAGTTAAACATTTAATGGCCATCATGGTATCAGTGGTTCTGACAACTTATGATCAGCTACTGACCTGGTGAGAGGAAGTTGGGGTTCACAGGTTTGGAAGAGTCATTACACTCCTCTAACTCCTGGAAGTTGAGCAAGTGAGACCACAGGGCCGATTTACCCTGTGGAAAAAAGATAATTATGATGAAAACAGAACTTTACATTATGGTTAACTGCATCATATAGTTTGTGTAACTAGTATTTATTAAAAAATGAGGATCCCATAAGCCTGACAGTCCAGCGAGGTAAGTCTCTTATGACACATCGAATACTATGCATACAAAACATAAGGAGACAGTGTGGCCAACACTGCACTGGATCACCCTCACTTTCCGATTGGTAAAGTTAAGAAACAAATCAGTCATGTCAACTGTGGGGGGACGTGTGCAAACCACAGACACTTTGGAAAGGAGACGAACACTGTCTCCACTGTACTGCTATACCTCAACATTTCTTTAAGAATCTGTACTATAACCAACAGGCATATGTGGACAAAAATACTGATAATCTAAAAAATTATTTAGGAGAAAATATAAAACTATTGTACTGTATACTGAAAGAGCAGATAAAGGGTAATAAATACAGCAATAAAAGTTACATTATGAAGATTATGTAAACTTAGTACAGTGCAGTAATGCAAATACTATACTACAGTATATGAACTTTCCAAAATGTAAAATACAATATAGTACCTACTTATAATTCTTTATGAAAACAAGTTTGGAATCAGTACACTTTTAACCATTTGTTCATATAGTTTGAAATGTCTTTAAAACTTCTGTTAGTATCATTTACATAAAAAAATCTAACAAATAATCAAACTCAAAATACTACTTTACCTGTTTGCTTTGAAGTCCATGCGCCCAAACACGTTCAAGAAGGTCACACAATGAGGCGATAAGTGTGTTCTCCTCCACACCCACCAAACTACCCTCTCCATGACCAAGCTCTACTGCCTCTGACCCCATCTTCTCAACCAACATTCGTTTGGTACGAGTTTTGCATTCCTATGGAAAATATAAATTTGAATATTCTTATCTACAAAGTTCCTGGTATAGAATTTGTAAAATATATTAAGAGATAAATTTTTCTTCCAAATCCTTAACATGTGACTGGCTATTAAGTCTTTTGAAACATGACAGAACTTCAAGAACAGTATTATAAACTAGTGTTTTCTTAAATACATGTACAGAGCAGTATTACATTAAAGTATCATGGTACTGTAACTTGTTGCTCAACTGTTTTTCTCCATCTTTGACCTTATTTGCCTCTCCAATTTATATCAACTTCATTACTCTTCATAAATATTTTTTACAAAACCTATCACAAAAATATTTCCTCCCATTTCATTTGTAAATAACTAAATCCTTCATAACAATAAGAACTCTCCTCTTTATAAAACAGGGCATTATATTACATCAACATGACAAATGAATATACAGGACATTCTTTTTGTAAACATGGACACATCTACATTAGTGCAGTCTCACTGCCCAAAAAATTCTGTCTGTGTATATGCATACATGCATGGGTGGGTGTGTGGGTGTAAATTTAAGAAAGATTTCTGTGCAAGCATTAATATTTTCAGTCACTTAGTGCTTACAATATTCATTTATTCACGACTGTGCTAGCTTACAAAAGAAATTATGAAACAAGAAAATTATGGGGTTATTGGGAGCTGTGTGTGTGTGTGTGTGTTTACCAGCTTTAATCACAGAAAGCCTTTAATGTTATGATCAATCTATCAACTACTAAATAATTTTAAGCTGAATATTAAATTTGAAAGATACTACCCAGGGCTATATAGTACTGTACCACAAGATGTAGAGGGTAAAAATTTTCATCGTGGATGGTCCTGGTAGTTGCTGGATGATAAAACTACAGTAAGTCCTCGCTTAATGTCGTCCCACTTAACGTTGTTTCGGTACTAAATCACTAAACTTTAGAGACCAAAATTTTTTTTAATGTCCCAGTGATCCAATACTACGTCATTTTGCGTCATCACAGACTACATTTTACGGTGCATCACCCTCTCTTGTCTAGCCGCGCTATGCTCTCTCGGCTTGGCGCAGTCTCAGTGACTCGCCACCCTCCTCCTCCTCCGTTTCCGCCATACTCCTCCCCTCCCGCCTCCTCTGCTTCACTACCCACCACATATTCGCTCTACCACCTCCGCCCATCAGTGAGTACCAATACAAACTTAGTAGTTGTATATGTATGCATTATTTTCTATAGGACTGGCACTGATTTTCTTTATATGTAATGTATTTCATGGGGCACAGGGAGGCGTAGGAACATAACTCCCGCATTTTATCTTTATCTATTTCTTATGGGGAAATTAATCTGCTTAACGTTGTTTCGTATAACGTCGCATTTTTAGGAACGTAACCCCGACGTTAAGCGAGGACTTACTGTATTTTTTACCATTACCAAAACATGATGTATTGTACAGGTACTCACAATTTCAAATTTATATGACCCCTCTAGTGATACCCCCTTGCATAAAAATGAAGGTTTACTGTCATGGTCAGCTGTGCCAACTAATGCAACAAATCTTGTCACAAACATTGGGAAAAGACAGTCATGATATGCATGTTATCTACCAACCTTTAAGAGTTGTTCAACAAATTTCCAATTAGTTTGGGCCATATGTGCAGGTGACATATCTGCCAGCTTTGGTTGTAGTTTGGACTTGGCTTCATGCATCACTCGGTCACGCTGGTCACCTGAGAGTCCAGTGTGTTCTAAATGTCTTTCTTGTCTCTCTCGTCTCCGCCAAGCGTGACAACTCCGCTTTTTGCTTCTTGTGGATAGGGAGAGGTAATTATTTTTACATAAGAAATAGGCTTCAGTATGTAAATAACAACAAGTGAAAATGGGTCCACAGGAATTAGTGCCCATTATGGAAAGTGTAAATACAGCAAATTATATTTTCAAGGAGGCAGAATGGCCAGCACTACACTTTAACTACCTTCACTTCTCCAAGTATATTCAACAGGCAACTGCTATACTGTATACCAGGCATGGGCAACCCATGGCCCGTGGGCTGCATGTGGGCCGGACCATATGTTTGTGTGGCCGGCGAAGTGATTGCGAAATTCTATTTAATGTGGTCCGCAGCCAATTTATGGTGAGTAAAGCAATATTTATTTAAAGAATAATCTTCACACACAATTCGTTAGTTTCATCACCTAAGAGTATGTAACTACGAAAATGGAGCAGTGAAATAAGGATGTATAGTCAACAATATAAAAATTTTAACTTGTGTGAGTTTATGGGCCAAGTTCGGCGCAGTCTGTTTGATGGATTAGCTGCTATATGGCAGTGGGTCACTTGGGAATTAACAAAGGTTGGGGAAGTCGAAGTGGGGTCACGGGCGGTGGTCACAAAGGGTTTAACTAATTAAGTAGTGTACTTCCAGAATAACACAAAATACACCAAAAACGCACCTCGGAAACCCTTAGTTGGCGAGTAATTGGCAATGAAATAATGTAATTAATATCTTGCACACGTCATCACCACTAATTATCCCACAATCGAATCGTGGACCACAGATTGGAATCGGCATGCTCAGGAGTACCTATGCAGGTACTACGATTTTAAACAAAATCTAATTTTGGGTTTAAACCACCAAAAGAAAAAATATATATATATATATATATATATATATATATATATATATATATATATATATATATATATATAATATATATGATATAACATTGGGATTATATATATATATATATATATATATATATATATATATATATATATATATATATATATATATATATATATATATATATATATATATATATATATATATATATATATATATATATATATATATATATATATATATATATATACATATATATAATCCCAATGTTAATCATGGTTGTTTCATTGTTGTTCCCCATATTCCAAGATTAACATTGGCATTATTCTGGTGGGTGTGTCTCATAAGTAAGAAAAATGCTGTAATTGTAGGAAAGATCAACGTATTCACAGACTGTTTCACTCATCTTCTGTTAAATGCCAAGAAACTTTAACATATTACAGTACCTTAAAAATTATTTTGATGGATTTGTTTCATAAATGGAAAAAAGACCGTGAATGTAAACTGAAAACATTGTAAGGTGGACGTGAGGATAAACTGCTTCGCTAATACAATATTCACATTACTTTTGGGTTAGGTAGGATATAAATTTTTGGGAGTTGGCCCGCAGAAAAATACCCAAATTGTAACGCGGCCCATGACTGAGGAAAGGTTGCCCATGCCTGCTGTATACAATACCCAGTCATTTAAATTATAAGCTATATAATACTGTATAAGAAAATTAAAAGTTCAGAGCATGTACATCATTAATCTATTTATAATAATAATATCCAGAAAAACCTTCTCAGCTACTATAGTACACACTTTCATCCATAATGTACCCAACAGGTATTTAACAATACAGGTATTGTCAGTAAAAGCTTATGACATGACACACTCAGAAAAAAATTAAAGTAAAACACTTTTGTCTTAAGAAAATATGTGGACAAAGGAATTGTTTACTATATAAAGCAAATTATTTATCAAAGATACCAGTACAATATATACTTTAAAATAAAAACATCAACTTACTTGTGAGGTTCCTTATTAAGTGCTATTCTGTCCAATAGAGGGAAATGACCTGGGTTGAACTGAGTACAGGACTCTGCCTGAGGGTCCATGGGTTGTGGGGCTGGTGCTCGGTAATCTATGTGAGACAGACGCTTCTCCAAGATTTGCTCGGTTTCTCTAACGGTTGTGCATGTCTCATATGATGGTGTGCGCACTAAACTATCATCATATCTGTCCCTAGAAATAAGCTTGATGAGTAACTTGAAATGGCTATACATAAATAATATATTTCTCCTATCTTTTGAAAAGTAAATGAAAAGCTAATTATATCTAAATCTTTAAGAAATCTTCTCATGGTATCTGAGGGTCCTTTGTTGATGAGTTCTGCTCAGTTGCAAGAGTCCGTGAAACATGGACAGTTAAAAAGGATAACGTACACAGGCTTGAGTGAGGTGAAATGAGATGGTGAGGTGAATGTGCAATGTAACAACGAAAAACTGGAAACCCTGTTCAGAGCCGAGAGACCAAGTGGGTATTTCAATTACAGTACACTATTGGCAAAGTTTTGCATAGAGGCAGGCTGTGATGGTTTGGGCATGTGGAAAAAATGGAAGATACCAATTGGGTAAAGAGATGTACTGTACGAGTCTAAATGTGGAAGGAGGGGGAGCCAGGGGAAGGTTGTAAGAAGATATTTAGAGTTAAGAACCTGACAACAGAGTCTGCAGCATAGGAGAACTGTCATCTGGTAATAGTGACTAGCCCACACAAGTGTGCAAAATGGCCATAAAATGTTGTTGATGATTATAATGAAGATGATGATGATTAGTCAAGTTCTGATATTAGCTTTGGAAAGCTAAATACAGTATTTGAAAATATAATCATATGACAGCTTATTTTTTCTGACCCTGTGGTAGAAGAACTTGTGTATCATATTCAAGTTATTAACATCCTACTAATAAAAAAACAAAACAAGATACCGGTATATACTAAATATTGTACAGTGAACGAAAAATCTCTATCTTGTACAGGTATCTTGAAAAAGTACATGTGGTAATAGCTTTTTAGAAAAACCATATGCAGTGAGTAATTAGCATTAGAAAAGTAATCCAGTTAAAATACTATTAAAATTTTGAGATGTCACTTGAACAAGAAATTATACAGATATCAAAGTGTGGACAACAGATCCTTAATCAGTATGTTCAGGAGTAAATATAGTACTGAAATTTTGAACAAAATCGGTGATATCAAGATTATGGCCAAAAACACCTTTTCTCTCAGAACTGAAATTTAATGTGTCTAACTACTTAAGTACATCCAGAATAACATAAACACTAAAAAGTTACCTTGAAAAACCAGGGTTGGAATGAGTCATTAAAAAAAAAAAAAAAAAAAAAATGCTGTAATGATATTATGCTGGTTTTAATAAGTTTTAAGTACAGTAAAACCTCATTAAGGCATACCCCGCTATGGCGGATATTGCACAAGCTAGACAAAATTATTTGCCCCAAAATAAATAAAAAATTAAAATACAGAACAGTAGGGTTGGGATATATCGCATCTTTTTATAAAGATTTTTTTTTATATCGGGGTTACCAAAATTATCGACATTTTCCAATATACTGTAGTACAGTACTTAATTGTACCAAAAGACTAAAATTTTTATCTCTTGAACAAAATATATGATGTCGATACTCAAATTATTCAGTCTTGCAAGGATTCCAGCAATGCAATTTATATTCTGCTAACTTTAATGTGTGACATTTTATAAGATAAAACTTTTAAGCCTAAAACCACCTTCACCCTTACTGGAAGTCAGAGGGGAGTTGATTTGTTATGACATATAAAGGTGATTTAAAACTTATGGGCATAATGTAATTGACATCTACTATAAATCATCAAAACCATCTGCAAGTAATAAAAAGAAATTAGAAAAAAAAAAAAAAACATTAAAACCAAGAAAAGGGTTATTTTTTTACTAAATTTTTTAAAAATCATTGGTTTAAATTGACCAACCCTGGATTTACTGCACTCTGAGATCTTGTTAATATTAAATTTTTAATTGTTAAAATACCCATCTTACCTGAGTAACCTAATGCGTACATCAAATATGCGGAGGTTAGGGTCATGTTTGCCCCAGTTGGATAGGATTTTATGATCAACAAGTGTGGCAAACATCTGTGACTCAATAAAACGTGAGAGGAATGGTAGATGGACTTCTGGTTGATCAGAGAGAAACGTTGCTTTGTCAAAGTTCTGCACTGACTCTCGACAACTCAACCACTGTTCCATGTCAGTTTCCTGTAGTAGTAAGTTAAAGGATTAAAAAACTATTGACATGAAGCAATAAGCTAAGTCATTCACATCTATAAAGACTAAACCAATCTGTAAAATTTGTCACCATATGTCTGAGAAAGATTCCTATACATTTACATTTATTCACAATATTTAGAAAATACGAGGCAACTTTATCTACTGTATGTATAAAAACATATCATTATGGTGCATGTTACAAGAATTCACAGCATGAACAATATACATTTTTTCATCTAAATTTATATCAAGACATTAAATCCAAGAAAAGATTTTGAACAGTCACTAAATTAGTCATAGATACAAATATTAAAATGAATGAATTAAGGCTGATGGATATGTACACAGATAAGATGTGTGAACATATCAACATCATCTCTGTTATATCCCCCTCAACAGTCTACCTGTAAGTAGTCCCCAACCATCAAAGGTTTACTTAAAAAAATATATATATACAGTACTACAGTATATATTTTTTCACATGATTCGAACTACAGGTGAAGAATCCAAAGTTATGAAAAATAATACTATCCTTTAAGAAGTACTGTACTATAATATAATGAAAATATGGTAAAATAATGTTTTCTTTTTTTACTATCAATATGCTTACTTATTTCCCTAACTTGCTTCAATATTATTTAACGGCCATGTGTGATCACCATGGATAGGGAGATCGTAGATGAGGGGATACCTGTATTACAGTTATATATCTTTTTAGATGTTGGCTTACGATTTCAGACTGTTCACTCAAATCTCATTTGGTTTCTCATAAGTACTAAATTATTACTGGACTGCACTGTACAGAATGTCTTTCACTTACTATGTTTATTATTGGCTTATAATCATTGTGTACACCAACACTTTTCATTAAAAACGTTTTCTATTATTTTAAGACTTTTTGGGAAGAATTTTTTCGTAGGAATGTATGAATCTCAACTTTCATAATTGGAGCCTATGAAAAAATGTGATTTGATTTACGAAAGGTTTTCATAAATAATTTTGCCTGTACTGTACAAGCAAGTTAGTAATAAAGGAGTAATTTAAGAGGCTCAGTAGATCCAAAGATTAGTAAATGTGCGTGTACCCCAGGTTGGTTGTACACTTCAACAGGGGTACATCAGGGACCCACTGTACATGCACATTGGGAAGCTAAAGAACATTACTCTTCTTAGTAAAATTTAATTGAAAGTACAGTAGTGCCCCTATCAAGATTTAATTGGGATGTTTAAATGTATGGTGAGCAAATAAAAAACTCAAAACCCTACGGTAATCAAATTATACTTGAATGTTATCTTTTTGTTCCAAAAGAAAATTAGAAAAAGCTTCTTACCTGACAATTAGGCTGGATGACAAAATGGTCATAAGCACAGAACATGTGGACAAATCTATTAAGGAAAACCTCCCGAACAGCATTATTGAACTTGAGCTCTTCCATCATCTCACTGTCTCTCTCTCTTTTGATTCTGTCAACTTCATCAGAGTCATACACACCTGGCAATAAAATTTTATTAGTAAGGTTTGATTAAGAATACAGGTACATAAAATAAAAACTAGACCCTCATTCTTAATATCTAATAACATACTCTACTGATGTTGAGGATAAAAAAAAAAAAATGAGAAAAATATATATACAGTGACCCCTCGTTTAACGAACACCTCGGTTAACGTAATTTCGATTAACGAACTGCCTTCCATAAGGATCTTCAATTCGGTTAACGAAAAAATTCTTACGAACCGACCTCAACATGTTTTCGCTTGCACTGACCGGGCAACCAGCTTTAGTATCAGTCCGCCAATACATTAATCGGTTCTAGGGCTTAAATTCCTTACTATTTTTGTAAATATCAAGAAGTTTATACTATTCAATAATTTTAAAAGTTTAATATTCAATTTTTTAGTCATTTTAACAATTATTGAACGAAATTGAAGGTAAAGTGACTAGTTTAATGCGCGGCATCCAGCCTCTTAACACAGCAAACAGGCGTCAGTCTCTCTCTGTTTTCACTGGAGGTAACATCTTGCTTGAGACTCTCTTCAACTAAATGCTTTTTTTCTGTGTTTCCAAGCAAATTATTGGTCATTTTGAAATATATTTTATATATTGACAATATATAATGCAGTGCAGCATTGATTTAAAGAAAATAATCTTGAATTAAACCAGAGAGCTAAAATTTTATGGGTGAAATGGCACCATGGGGTGACTTCTCTTCCACCCCAATGCCTTCTCTTCTTCCTTCTCCTCCACCCCCATTCTAAATCCCATCATCATCATCATCATCCAGGAGCCTTCTACATACACACCTCAAAGTAAGTGAACTTTTCTACCATTTTTGTTGAATTTAGGAAATTTTCGGTGAGCTGGAACCAATTACCCAAAAACCCATTGAAACAATGGTTTCGTTAAGAACGTTTCGTTAACTAACGACCTTCTGGAACGGATTGAGTTCGTTAACCGAGGGCCACTGTACTGTATTGTTTATTTCTGTGAGGTACAAGGAGGAATCATCACTTAAGATCTCTGTTATATTACAGCATAAACAGAATCTTCCTTGTTTAACCCAGAATACTATGCCTTAAAGGTGTGCCTCGAAAATGTTATCACAATAGGAATAGGATGACTATGAAAAACTAAGATAACTATAACACCAGTACAGGTGCTGTAACCCCTACTTTTTTTTATAAGAAGCTTACTGCATGATTGTAGCAATCATATACAGAAAATGCTGAGAATTTAACACTACTGAGGTGTAATGGTCAGCAGGCTCACCTCGTAAGTTACTGGTCCAGGGTTCGATCCCCGAGAAGGGTGAAACTATGGGCAAGTTTCTTTACGCCATTTGCCTCTGCCTACCCAGCAGTACCGGTCAATAGGTATCTGGCTGTTAATCAACTTGCAGATTGTTTTCCGGGGAAATAGATTGTCAGTGCAATTGGTAAACTGGCTGGACTTCTCATATTATTCTAACACTGGGTCATATAGCTCGTTAACTTAAGATGAGGTTGTTTTGTTGACAACGACTTCTACACCTTAAACAAACTCACACTTAGGTGGCCCTAGGGGTGGACAGCCTCAACCTTGAGGGGTAACCATTATTATATTTAAGTAGCCATAGGATAAAACTGCATGCCAACTTACATTTCTATCCATAAAGCCTTTGTCATGTGACTGAACAAATAATTTTGTATAGTACAGAGGGATGACCAAGGCAAAAAAGAACCATAACTATAGCATACTATATATGTACAAACCCTTCGATCAAACTCGGTCTGGACATGAAGCTATATACTGTAAAAATCTCATTTTGATCTGTGAATCCTCTCTCCAGTTACTGTAAAGAAGCTTACTGTACAAGCACACAATTGAATAAATGCCACCAAATGAAATGAGTGGGACATAAAAACTTCCTTTTTACATCATTTGATAAAATGAAACAAATGTAGTGCCAAAACATAAAAGCATCTTTGCATGATCAATGAAGGGCACTTCTGAATAATTAATAACACTGTAGATCAACTAAATGGGTACATGACTGAGCCTCTCCTTTATCTACCTCTCACAAGGCATTAATTAAAACTGCAAAATAAATTCAAATATTGTTTCAAATTTTACACTAATAAATATTCACTTAAATTTTTCTAACTAATTAGACTTAATAATGAGATGCTATTACCAATGTTTAAATTTTAATGGTACATCAGTTTAGGTTATTCACCAGTTTCATAACAAAATAACAGTACAGTACTGTATATGAAAACACAGTAAACAAATCCTTTAATAAAGTCACATTGTATTTGTATACAAGGTACAGTATAGATAAAAATCCAATTTGCATTTCTAGTTTTACTTACCAGCTTTCTTGACAATTGCAGTGATCTCCTTGAGGTGTGGGGATTGAGGAAAGGGGTCAAAATGCTGACTTCTTGTGGAATTTGGAGGACCTTGTAAAGGGGAAATGGAGGACATTGTGGAGGGTGGAAGGGAAGTGATGGAGGAATGGGAGCCACTAATGGAGCCTTCTGTACTTGACACACCTGAATCCGAGTCATGGGACCATGAGTACTTTCGTCTCCTCCTGTATTTGTACTGACTATGGTGCTCATTTAGATTTCTGGAAAATTAGAACAATTATATCAATGGTTATATAATCTGCATAATTTTATTTATTTGTATTTATTTATGTATTTATTTTATTTATTTTATTTTTTTTGGGGGGAGGGCAGTGATGGAATAGTTCAAGGACTACTAGCGAGTGTAAGAAGGAACAAAGTTACTCAAACAAATTTGTTACCAGTACAGTAGTTCCATAAATACTTATCACAATTGTTTTCATAATTAAAAAAAAAAGAAACATTCGCTCTCATATTTATAAAATATTTTGGGGATAAATCCTGCATATCGAGTATAAATTCCATAACTCACCTATCCAGTTTACCAGTTGGAACCTCCCACTTCAAAAGCAACTGTGTTAACTCCTGAATGAAGTCTGAACGGTGGGGAAACTGAGGAAGATCTTCAGGGACCTCTACTGTGCCTTCGTCAACATCTACCAGACACAGATTGGCCTGAGAAATTAAAAGTTTCATTTATAACATAATTTCTCCTTCCTCACCTATGAAACATACTGATACTTAAGATTTATCCTGAATTCTGAAACTTGAAGTGATGTCAAGAGATGTTCCCATAAATGTGCTTCTTTTAACTTCCTATTCATCTTCTATAAATTTATTATTCATGTAATGTACTGTACTTACTGTAGTTTTAAAATGCTTCTGTAGTTAAGTGTTAAAAAATTTATCATTTTTATTTGTAGAGTAATTTAATGTGCAAGCAAAATAGCTAAGGCAATTATTTTTTAGTATTTTTGTAAACCGCAAACACCTTTAAGTGTACCTATGAACAGTGACTCAAGTGTTGGGATCAGACTATAGGGGCTACCCTGCCTTACATGACATAAATAGCTAATGGGAGACTGGGACACTCATATATGATTCATATTTATTTATTTCAAAGACATTTCGTAAAACTATTATTGATGTTTCTATACAATATTGATTACTGTAATTCAATTAAACATTAATATTTCCAGAACAGATAACCTAATTTTCTTCAGTTAAGTAAACACAAAGTTAGTAACACTGATGGCTGAACAAAAGTCTAACCACATACATTGGATTAGTTGAATATGAAGTAAACTTAAACAAAACAAAATCTCATTTTGCAAAGTTTATAAAGGATCATACACATATTTCTTATATTATCTATACTTTTCAAAATAAATTCCAACAATAAAGTTCAATAGAATCGGAAAAATACTATACAGTACAGGACTATATAGTAGTACCTATATAGAAATACAAAAATATGAAAGAAATTTTAATACCCTTACATATTCAATTTCCTTACAAAGCATTCCAACTTACTTCATTTGGGATTTGTATGGTATCTCTGGAGTCTTGAGAGCACTGAAGACCCATAATGAAAGGCACAGGGGCATCAAGGAAGTGGTGAAGAGATGCAGGTAATATTGGCACATACACATGTTGCCACACGAATGGAAATATGACAGTGCCTATACTCTCTGCAACCAGCATGAGTTTGTTGTAATCTGTAAGATAAAACTTGAATCAAAATCCGACACCTCACAAAACCCAGGATTAGTCCTTATGTTGAATACAGCTGACACTGACATGTTTTCACTATTTATTACATTATCTTATTCCTTTAAACTTCCAAATCTCCCTGAAGTATGGCAATCCTTACAATAGATTACATACTTATTTTTATTAGTAAAGATTTTCTAACAATTAAAGCTGGGTGCCACATGGAGTCTGATTCAGATACTTCCTTTACCAATTATCTTGATGTGTTAAAGAGCAAATTAAAATCATCATGCAAAATTAAATAATATTGATGAGTAAATGAAGGCAACACACAAAAGGTATAAAGGCATCACTAAGAATGAACACTCCAAATTGCACATTTGGCTTCCTGGGTATTCATTTCAACTGATTGCACCTTAATTGTACACTCACATTAAACCTTTAAGAACTAAAGAGTTGATCATTCCCCCAGACCTCAGGTCATACATTTTCAGAAAACTCTTTCTCCAATTCCAGTCACAAATATTAACAATTAAAACAATAAATACATTTAACTCTTTAACAGCACACTAAATTTCTCCTTGTAGAAAAGCAAAGTATTTGTACAGAGTTACCAGAGAAGTGAAGGGTGCATAAGAACCCTGAAAATTATGGAAAATTACAAGCAGAACATAATGCTGCATCATCATGAGACTCAGCCAAGAGCAAGCTGGAGGAGGCAGCCTGGGGCTTCGGTATTGAAAGTTTTACAATTGAGGGACTTGTCAACTTTACTGTCTAAAATTGCAGAAATGGCACAACCTTTAGGACACTCTTATGCTCACTGCAAACTTTATCTGGATTCAAACCACCAATAGGTTGTACAACTCAAATGAAAAAGTAAAAGCAGTCCCATGTTGGTAAGTCCTCTTTATGGACAAAAAAAAAAAAAAAAAAAGTTCCAAAGCTGACACCGAGCATATGAATTATATATCCTTCAGCTTTGACATACTTGAACCATTGAAGTCTGTACCTTCATGTTCCATTAAATACTTTATAGCACCAATTCTGAGTTTTTGACGTAAGAAAATTTTGGCAACTGCAAGGATAAAAACAGTATCAACTTACCACAAGAGACCAATATAACCTGGTTTTCCAGTAGCACACATGTAAGTAGCTGAACAACATATTCCACTCCGAGGCATGAGAAGAACTCACGTAATGAATACTGCAAATATAAACAAACAAATGAGATAGTTTTTTAAAACAAATTCTAGACACAAACTATTCCATTTCATATAAAAATCTTAAACTAATATATTAAGAGGTAGAAAGGCTTTACTATTTCTCCGTTATCATTTAACGTAGCTACATGGTGATATTTTTTCCTTTTCATAATGTTCACCAAAGCACCGGTCACCTCTTACCTTACAATGATTTAGTTCTTTGGGAGGGTAGGTGATATGGAGCAATATGAAATGGTCTGATGCACATGTAACCACCCTGATCTTTTCAAAAGAAAATTTGCCCAGCCAAGATTATGCAAAGGCACACAAGATATAGCTATGTCCATTGAAGAGGAAAAGTTTCATAAGTAGCTCTACTAAAAGGTATGCCAAGGCTTGCTAACATGAGGTAATTATTAAAATTTCTTTCATGACTATTATCCAACTTAGGTAGTTTAACAAATTGACCAGTAATTTGAAAGGTTTCTTTAAACTAACACTCACCTCATATAGAGGGAGTTCATGACTTGTGGGACGGTGACAAATGTGTGTCTTTCCTACACAGGAGAACGCCACACAGCGACCAGGGGGTGGTGCTGGTACCTCATACAATAAGTTGTAGACATGTGACTCTAGGCTTACACCACTACTTTCACACTGTATGAAGAACCTGAAAAAGAGGAAGAATTAAGGTAAATAAGTGTTGGGACAAACTATGTATGGAAAAAATTAACACAATAATAAAGCCCTAATTAATAAATGTAACAAACAAGACTAAACTTACCTGTCATCACTTTCCTTAACGATCTTTGCACCAATAGTTTTACAAATACTGTACAGTACAGGTATACTGTACTGCATTAACTTTAGAAACAGCACCTTAATGTATCTACCACAGCCCTACATTAACAGGAAACCAAAGGTGTTTATTTAAGCTTAAACACCTCATAAATTGCAAGGGGCATATCATTTATAAAAGGCATTATAAATATAATGGTGTAATTAAGCCATCTAATATAAAGTATAGGAAAAATAATTATTAGGTGATTGTAGCAACAGTAGCACAATCATCCCTGTACGTCCATAGGCAAAAAATATAAAAATATCTCACCTATACAACCCTTTGAGAAATTTTCTCGCAGCATAAACATATGGGTGTTGACCAACTAGGGCAATACATTTGGCCACATATAGTTGATCTTTAGTTATATCATAGAAGTGAAGAGCTGCTGGTGATTTGGGTGCCGAGAGGCGGAACTGGCGAGGAAGGGATCTGGTGTCCCGGCTATTTGGTGTTGCTCCAGATGAGGCCTTAGCATGACTACTGGACATCTCCGTCAGGTATACAGACTGTTGACGTGGATATAAATCAATGTTTTTCCCCTAATAAAATGACTACAGTAGTTACAGGCACCAGTACATCAACTTTACTATTCAAGTATACAATACTGTATGATTGATTGAGAGAAGTGTCTGTTATAAGCAACTGTACTGTACAGTGTATCACAATTGGAAGGAAATATGGATGCAAGATGAAAATTCCATTAAAAAAATTAAAACATCCCAACGAATATGTTTGTCCTAAGAAATGGCTACAACCTCTGAGCAAAGGCGCAAAGTTCAAATGTTCATAACCAAGTTAAATAATTACAGACTAGACTGACTACCAAACCTGTCTGAGATTATATTGTAACCTACAGCCCAGGTCTGGTTAGTATTCTTTACACTTTATTATAGTTCTCATCCCTACCACATCAATATCCTTATTCACTGGATCAACAAGGACAAAATATGTTGAAGCCTTTGTATATTACTGCTTTCAATTTGCCTTTCCAGTGGTCCTGGGTCTACATGAAGTTGTGGTTCAAGAATGGTAATGCTAAGGAGCAATGGCCCAAGAACATGATGATAAAAGTGAAACACAATGATGTAGCACTGTACTGTAGAGTAGCAAAGAGAAAGCAGAGAAGTCCTTTGCAGTTAATATATTCTGACATAAATAACTCACAGCTTTCAAATGAATCAAATCATGACTGTAACATAATAAACACATCCAAATGTTTGTACTGTATAGCGTATACAGGTATTCATAAGACAGTACCGTACTACATTAATCTTCAAATAATGTTAGACACAATTGGGTTTGATTACCCAACATAATACAGTACAGTACAGTACATGGCCTTCATCCTTAATTCTTGGTTCACTTTCTTACTGCAACAATAGCTTACGTCAGTCATTTATCTGAAACATTGAATATACTGCACTGCACTGTAGCATAGTGCTGTAAGCCTATTCATAACACTAACCTCAAATCAATTTTGATAAAAGGTACTGTTAAAATATGTGTTGCTCTTGTTTAATGAACATATGGAATTCAACAATTTCAAATTAGCTGTTGTTTATTGGTGCTGAGAGTTTTGTGATTGTTATCTAGTGAGAGGTTGTTACTTTCACCTTTCACCTACAGCAAGGATATAATTATAGACTTGAAAACTATATATCTTGCTTCAATTTCAACACTGTACAGTATACTTAAACACCACTAATGACTGACATAATATATACAGTACAAAATAAAAATGTAGATTTTGAATTGCAGTATAAAAATATCCATATAATATTAATTATTCATTTAATTTAATGTATATATGCATGGCATTTATAAAGCACATTCAAAATAAAAATGCTGCCATACTTTAGCAGCATGGACAGTTAGGGTCAAAAGTTTGCTCTCGCCCAAAATGAAACAGTATCGACCCTAAATGAGATGAAACAGGTAGGGTAAGTAATTTTGAAGACTCATTCCCATGATTCAGTTTCACCATGGGTAGCAAACTTTTGTTCCTGACTGTACAGTCATGGAAAAAATCCTGTCAGTCCTCCGCCTCATCTATGAACCCCGAGACTCATGAACCCGTAAATCTGAGACATCACACATTCTGCCATCTATGACCCAACAATGTAAGTTCATCAGTCTCAGGGTTCATGGATGAGAGAGAGGACTGTCAGGACATTTTCCACAAATGTCAAGAACAGTACTGTACAATACTACCAAATACAATTTTATTGTTATTAAGCACTTACATAAAAAAATTACCTTATGCAATTTATTTAGAAACATACTGCACATAGACTCAGAGACTTTGATATCTAACTAACTACAATTAAGATCTCGTACTATACTATAAAGAAAGATTATCACTTTCCTATGCAGTAACTAACTCACCTGGAGTGTGTGCATAGCAGTACAAATCTGCTTTGAGTTAACTTCTTCATAGAAGACATATGCAAAGCCGTGTGCACGAGAGCCATCTCCCTTGGTAACGAGAAATGGATGGAACTTGGGTTCCAAAACATGCTTCTGAGTGCGGAACTGTAAACCCCGTGGTAGACACAGCTGTAAAGAGGTGAAGAATATTTATTAAGAGAAGACAAGGAAATAGACATGACAAACTAATATAAACCATAAAAAATTGTCATGGGTCTCTTCGGTTTCATGTACCGAGTCCCAATTTTATGTATACTGTATGTAAGATATTTTTATTTCGCGAGTAATATAGACTGGAAAAATTGCGCCAATTCAAATTGGCCAAATGCAAATACATAAACCAATGGGAAAAATAACAATATAGACAGGCCACTCTACAACAACCTCTGATTTTCCCATTTACAACCCCCAAAATGATACAAATTCTGCCTTTATTGACCTGATAGTGCTTTCCAGAAACTAGTTTTTAGGACTTCAAGTAATTTAATCACACGCTGCTTATCCTGCAACAAGTACTTGGCAAACTTAACTCCCTTATGATAGTCCCGCTTCTCCTTTTCCTTATGTGGCCTCTTAGGTGGGTCAGACCCACCCCCACCAGAACCAACAAAAGCACACAATAGTAGCCCGGGTGGTCGCTAGGATGGCGAGGGCTACAACGCGATAGTTGCGTTCTTGTAAACCTCTTTTACGTTCACCACCGGCAGTTCGATCACCAGAACACTTCTTGGAAACATTCTACTTACCTTGTCTTTCCATTTTCATAGCCAACACTACAAAATTGGAGAAAACAGGGAAAATCACGGAGCAATCCACAAAAACCGAGCGCTTCAACTGATTACGTGATGTAAACGGAAAGGCTGGTGTAAACCGTTATTAGTCCTCACTGCGAAACATTCTTTTTACTTATTCTTTTCATACAGTATTTTGGGGGTAACAGCTAAATTTGCCCCTCCCCCCCAAAAAATACCTCTCATAAAACATTTCCAAAACAAAAGATATGAATCAATTGAACAAGTGATGTCGAACGTGAGCTGTAAACACTGCATGACCCCGAGCCACGCTTAACACGGTGAGGATGGACTCGTGTTATAGCCAGCATTCGTATGCAAAAGTTTGCGTTTTACAAACAGTGCTCCCCTGTTCATCAATCGTGTTAACAAACACGAGTTTTAGCAGAAATGACTAACTGGTATGAGGGCTGTGACGTCATCCATGCCGGTGGCCAGCATTCAGCTGGCTAGATCTCGCGAAATTCACGATATTTTATGCCAAATATAAGACATGGTTACATTAGGTAGTGCTCGCGAAATTAAAAAATGCGAAATGAAATCGCGCGTAGATATTGGAAGCATAATGTGTTGTCTAATGGTAGACCCTGCTGCCACAAGGCATCACAAAAATTATGACCAAGTCCCAGGTTGCTGATCTGACTTTCTTCCTCATTTACACACAATTGCAGGGTCTCAATTGTTTCTCTTACTATTGACAACACAACATACATATATTGTTTCTCACTTTCTTGAGACTAACCCTAGCCCTTCCTTTCTGTTACCGAATTATACCAATCATTGTGTCCGATGCGGGTCTCTCCTCGTCTGCTTGTCCCACGTGATATGTGTAACGGTGGTGGCTGCGGCGGCAAGAGGTCAGTAACTCAGGTGCAAGTTACTGGCGACACACAACCACCACTTTGGTAAGAACAGTATCTTGAGAAAATGGGGGCGTTTAAGTGACATGAGAGACAGCAGGGACATGTGAGAGAGGGTAGAAAATTGAGGTAAGTTGACACAGTGGACGTAGTATAACTCACAAACTAGTTAGATCACTGTTAGTCCCCGTAATAATTACAGTATTATTCTTTACTTCTTTCTAGCACATAATGCCATCGACCTACTTTCCCTATTAGTCAGATCGTTTCATGCAAAAGGAATAATTTTTTTATCTTTTTTTTCTTTAATTATACAATGACAAGCGGGTTTGAATAAAAATCTAAGTATTAAGCTTTTGTGTTTTTGACGGGTTCATTTATTAAGTCGTGTGAGGCCATTAAATACGTAGTCTCTTTTCTTTCCTCATATTATTGTAAGTACGGTCGGTCAATAGGTCATTTTTTTTTTAAACATTTGGGTTACTTATTATTATCCCGAAAGCGCCCTCCGAGCCGTAATTATTTTTTTTAAACCAAATACAGAATACGTGATTTGGTTCGGGTTACTATTTAGTACAGTAATCTGAATTTGTATTGGAGCATTTCAGGATAAGTCTTCGTGTGTGGGTAGGTATCAGAAGACTTATCTCGAAAGCTTCAACTACGTAATTATATATGAATAGATAAAGTCTGAAATACAATATATGTAAATTAAAGAGAAAATGAGGAAAACCGATATTTAAATGGCGTAATAACCAGTTCCGACGGAAAAGTTTATATTTTTTATGACACTCCGAAGATTTTTCGTTTCCCCATCACACATCTCACAAATTATCTAGCATTACATTCCTGCTACTTCCTCTTGTAGCCTCAAATACAATAAAGAACACACTTTTTGTGATAGATAGATGTAACGTCATATCCAATTCGCCAAAATATTATATAGGAAGATCAAAGATGATACAAAATTTAGAGAAAAACAAATTAATCTACGACTCTCAACATGGGTTTACAATGGGAAAATCTTGTCTAACAAATCTGCTGACGTTTATTAGGAAAGTCTTCGAGGTAGTAGATAATGACGAAAATTATGATGTTATTTACTTAGACTTTAGCAAAGCGTTTGACAGAGTACCGAATCAGAGGCTTCTGAGAAAAGTTAAGGCTCATGGTATCGAGGTTAAAGTTTTAAATTGGATGAAATCATGGCTCACCGATAGAACACAGAGGGTCAGCGTAGGTGGTAATAAATCTGAGTGGGGTTGTGTAACCAGTGGGGTTCCCCAGGGGTCAGTACTGGGCCCACTCTTGTTCATAATCTACATAAACGATCTAGATACCTGTACTGGGATCAGCAGTGACATAAGCAAGTTTGCGGATGACACCAAAATAGAGGGGCAGATTAATTCATGGCAGGATGCAAATGCACTACAGGAGGATTTAAATAAACTGCAGGAGTGATCAGAAAAATGGCAAATGAAATTCAACACCAGCAAATGCAGCGTACTTAATATTGGAAGAACAAATACTGTCAATGTATACAGCCTTAACAACATCAACCTAGAGAAGTCGACTTGTGAAAGAAATTTATGGGTACTTGTAAGCCCGGACCTACGGCCTAGAAAACAGTGCGGTAATGTTCGAAATACGGCAAACAGAGTATTAGGTTTTATATCTAGAAGTGTAAGTAATAAGAGTGCAGAGGTCTTATTGCAACTATATATTGCGCTTGTCAGGCTACATCTCGATTATGCGGTTCAGTTCTGGTGCCCTTATTATACAGGGTGTCCCATAAGTTTCCATACAACGTATCACCAACGCCATTACAAGCATAACTCCAGCTGTGCTTGAACGTGTTCTTCAGCAGTGAAGGACACGCATTAAAGAGTGTTTTCAACAGAATGGTAGTCATGTAGAGCACATTATATAAATAAACATGGATTTTCATATAAAATTTATTTTTCCTATGTATGGAAATTTATGGGACACCCTGTAGAATGGATATCAATTCACTGGAGTCGGTGCAGCGAACAATGACGAAAATGATTCCGGGACTTAGAAACCTTCCATATCAAGATATGTTAAAGAAACTAAACTTACATTCCCTAGAGAGACGAAGAGTGCGGGGAGATATGATAGAAAGTTAAAGTGGGTGAAAGGAATCAATAAAGGAGATATGGATCAAGTTCTTATAATATCCGAGCAGGATAGGACTCGTAGCAACGGATTTAAGTTGGATAAGTTTAGGTTTAGGAGGGAGAAAGGAAGGAACTGGTTCACAAATAGGGTGGTGGACCAGTGGAACAAGTTTAGCAACTTTGTAGTAAGTGCTGGAACGGTGGAAAGTTTTAAAAGGAGGCTAGATAGATTCATGGATGATAGAGTGGTAGTAACTCTCAGCAGGAGCTGCTATGCACAGGCCAACCGGCCTATTGCAGACTCCTTATTTTCTTATGTTCTTATGTAAAATGTGTTTGAGAGATTGTTGAGGTAATAGTTTACAACAAGTGTCACTTGTGAGACCGACGCTGATAATTACCTTGGAAATTTTTGCCCATGCTATATTTCACTGTTTGGGTTGTTGTTCTGTTGGTGCTACCAGTGTTTGTTAGGTTAGGTTACATAAAATATTTTGGGGGGAAATGTTCAAACCAAACCTATAATCAGGGTTGGAACAAGTGTCATAATTGATTAATGATAAAACACTACTGTAAATTAAATCATGCCATATCATGAATTTATAAAACCACAAAAATATAACATTTAAATACAAATGAGAAACCATGAAAAATTACCAATATATATTAAGCCCCATTTCAAGTTATGTCCTTATAGTACAGTACAGCACAGTACAGCACAGTACTGTACAGTATATAAGGCAGATAAAGACAAAACACTAAATTATACTTGAATTTAATTAAAAAATACCAAGAATTAAATTTTTTATAGGAAGAATTACTTAGAAGCTTAAAACCCAGCCTCAAAGATAAAATTAAATTGATAGCTGATCATATAGTAAAACACTAAACACTAAATAAATTGTCCAGTACTGTACTGTAAAAATTTTCTTAATTCAAGATTATTTTGTTTCTTTAGCAAACTAAAATAATATACTGTAATATAATTTACTGGCAATATTCCTGATAATTTCATAAAGAAGGGGCAGGCATATTAATTCTACAGTATTGTACAGTACTGTACTGACAATTTTGTCTTAATTTTCAATATTGTACAGACAGAGATCTCTCGCTACACAAGCGTTCGCTCTGCCATTACAGTACAGTATCAACAAATACAAATATAGCATTCTATTCTTACGCCACTTTCTCACTACACAAAACCCATGGTACCTTAAGGTAAAAGACTAAGCTTAAACTTCATTCAGTTCTTAATGAGAAAGGTGCTAAATTGCAGGGTTTTTTTTTTTTTTTTTTTACGGAGATTTGCCCACCCGGGCACAGGTCACTGACCCACATCA